ATTTTTTATATTTAAAATGAGATGTTTATCCTGTATTTGATTGTGTTTATCTGCAGTTAGTTACACGAATTCAGTTATGGGATAAAATCGGATAGGAATGAAATTGTTTAGGGATGAACGGGTTTAAGAGTTTTAAGAGTTTAAGAGTTTTTAAGAGTTTTAGCCAAATGCTTTATAATATAGTATAGATTTGTTTTATTTTTTAAATTACCTAACAAATCATGTGGTGTGTTTTTTTTAATGATTATTATTTATTAATTATCATCATCAATCGCTTATTGATAAGATTAATAAATATAATTAATGAATGATCAATTATTTAAATAAAAAAATAAAATAAAAATAATTGGTTGAGGTACCAAATATGTGGGACAACCTTTGGGATCAATCACCATACGTTTTCAGTTATTTAACCCATTTCTTGTTTTTAGTGTGTGGAATCAAGAAACCATTTACAATCACCCAACTGTTTCCCACCTGGGAATTTCAATTCCCTTCTATCTCTTAACTTTTCATTGTTGCTTCTATTTCAGATCTTGGTGAAATCCCCAGAAAGGAAAAAGGTACAAACCCAACCTCTGAATCAATTTTCAAGTTCATTTGTAGTTGAATTTGATGATTTCCAAGATTTCTTGAAAACTTGGCGAGTGAATTTGGTTGTTTTTTTACTTTACTTGAATTTGTGCAAAACTCAAATTTTCAATGGATTTCTTGAATCTTTTAAAGATTGTTCTTGAATCGATTGTGTACTTGAATCTGCTGAAAAAGAAGTTGACTTTTGAGTTAATGTATGATTAAATTTGTTCTCTCTCTCTCTCTCTCTCTCTCTATATATATATATATACACACATTATGCTTCATTTGATGTTTGGAATTTGAATTGTTCTTGAACAAACTGTGTATATGATTGTTTGTTTTTACTGATGTGGGTTTATTTGAATTCGATCAGAAGTAGAATTTTCGAACCATTGTACTCTGCTTTAGGCCAAAATTGATCAAAGTGCGAAAGTTTGTCTTAGTTTCTATATAGGTTAACATAGAAATCTTTTCCCCAATGTAACAAAATTTAAAAAATTTCTGCTTAATGTTATAAACTTCTAAAATTTCATATTTTTAGCCATTTTGACCGGTAACATGCTGATCTTATAATATTTGATGATGTGAATATCAAATTTATTGTCAATGCAAGTACATTGTTTTTTTTTTTTTTTGCATTGATATATTCACAATTTGTAAAAAAGCACTTATTTCTTGTAGAGAGTGTTTTGTTGACAATTTCACATGAAGGAAAGTTAATTTGCTATGAAAAACCAAGTATATTGAAACATTTTAATTTTAATTTTGAAAGTGAATTTTGTTTTTTGATGACCATGGTGTCCATGTTATGCACATACCTTACCACTATAGGGGTATTTATAAAAATAACCGGTTTACACAACAATTTGCCACAAAATAACCACATTTTAGAGGTTTTACAGAAATGACCATACGGATCGCCCCCAGGGGCGATCCGTACACTACGGGGGCGATCCCCCCATAAGTCTTAAAAAAAAATTGGGCTTGACATGTTGGTATGTCCGGGCTTTAAGGTCAGGCCTGAGCTTTTTCTAGGCTGGTATTTCCGGGCTTTGGGGTTGAAAGATGGCCTAATCGGGCTTTTTCATATCGTGCTTTTCGGGCTTAGCCAGGCATTAAAAAAAGTTGGCTTGAGCGGGCTTTAAGGTCAGGCCTGGGCTTATTAGGCCTAGGCTTTTCCAAGCCGAGCTTTATCTTATGTTTTTTCGTGCATCTCTATTTAGCGTTACTCCAACTTGTGACCCCAAACCCAATGGCTTATATGAATGTTGTACATGAGATATGAAAGAACTTTATGATCCTATTTTTTTTTAATTTGTGTTTTTCGGCATGCTGAATTGCAGGACCTCTTTCAAGCTATGAATCCACAATTGAATAAACCAAACTCGAATCTTCTGTTAACACCAGAAGATGAACAGAAAATGGTTCGTAGTAAGTAGTTCAAGTTTAGCACAATGAAGAAACAATGTCATTCACACAAAATAGCGTTTATTTCAGATCACGGAGGTGCGTGAGACGATTAAGAAGCATAAATCAATCAAGAAGATGAGAGAGTGTCGGCCAGATGAATTTTCTCGATTTTGTTGTGATGGATCTATATCAAGATATCTCAGAGCACGGAATTGGAACGTTAAGAAAGCTGTAAAAATGCTCGAAACATCCTTGATTTGGAGAATGAACTATAAACCCGAAGAGATTTGTTGGGTAAGTTTTTAATTGTGAGCAGTATTTCCTGTTTTACTGTATGTCAACCTTAGTATTATAGCTTACTTTCTCCTGACCTTACCTTCGTATAGAATATACTTGAGAATGAGTATATGATATAATAACATATCTATTAGAGGGTCAAATTTAAATGAGAACTATAATTATTTTGAGAACTTGAAAACCAACTATATCCAATATTATTTATGATGAATGATTATGAATATAATATATTCATAATGAATATCATGTATTTTTGTTATCAATGATTAAAATATCTATCACAACATATATTATAAATAAACCATGAATCTCATATAAACTCGTCCAATCTGTTTACAGAAGTTAAAAATGGTGTTATGATTTTTGTTTATGTCGGTTCGATCTAGGAACATGTTGCCGCTGAGGCGGAAACCGGGAAAATCTACAGGTCAAGTTATAGGGACAAGAATGGGAGGGCGGTGCTCGTTTTGAGGCCTCGATTCCAGGTTTTGTATCATATTTTCCAATTTCCAATCATGTTTTGAGAATATCCTCGTTTTGAAGTAGTTAGATTTATTTTGTATGCATTCGCATGTTTGGGATATAGGACAAGTCTGTGTAAATCCAGATCCTCGGACCCTATTGAGTCAGTTTTGTTTTGTTTGTTGAATTTAATTATAGAACTCAAATTCAACAAGATCGCAGATAAAATATCTCGTGTATTGCATGGAGAACGCGATATTGAATTCGCCTTCGGATCAAGAACAAATGATTTGGTTGATTGATTTTCAAGGTTTCAATTTGTCCAACATATCGATCAAGTCGACAAAGGAAACCGCTCATATCTTACAAGATCATTATCCGGAGAGGCTCGGCTTAGCAATTCTATACAATCCGCCCAAATTCTTCGAACCCTTTTATAAGGTAAATCAGAGTAATCTGATAAGATTCCATATAGGTTACGTGTTGGCTTTTGAGGTCAGAAAATGTACTCTCAAAATGCAGAATTGTATCTATATATGTATATATATGTATATGTATATATATATGTATATATATGTATATATATATATAAGTACGTTTGACCTGTATCTATCGTTTAAAACGACGTAGGTCGTAAAGCCGTTTCTTGAGCCCAAGACGGCGAACAAAGTGAAGTTCGTTTATGCAGACGATCCAAATACGAAGACGATCATGGATAACTTATTTTGCATGGATGAACTCGAATCTGCATTTGGCGGAAAAGATGAAGAAAATTTCGACATCATGAAATATGCAGAGAAGATGAAGGAAGACGATGCAAAGAGGATCGCTCTTCACAGAGGAGAAAGTGGCTCTGAAACAGCATCTTCTATGCCCATCGCTAACCCTGATTCTGATACTGAGAAACTAAGCGATACAAACTCTATAATGACCAACGTTGATGAGGCTCGAAAGGTGAGCTGCACGACCTGAACCATAGTTGGATCATTACGATCCAATTGGTTCGAGTTTTGTTGTTAGAATTGTCATCTTTCTAATTGAATTTTTCACTCCATGAACATAATACTTGGTGTTCATATATAATTCATATTCATGTCTAGAATTATATACAAGTGTTCGCATATTTATTGGATCAAGATGAATATTGTTACACGAACCTTGTAAAAGAAACAATTTTGACGACACAAAGACACACGATGGGCAAATCAGTTAACCGATCGGGGTATTTACCTGTTACCCGAGACCCAGTTAAGCTTGCCCATCTCTACATTCAATAGTTGAAAAGGCAAAACGTAGCGACAGATATCGGCACCCAAACATTATTATTCAATCTCTACCACACTATACAAATGAGTTTCTACTACACAAAACTATGTATGTATATATATATAAACCTTGTCTGTATGGATGGCCAAATGAAGACGCAAAATCAAGGAGACATGAACGGAGACGGTTCCAAGAAAGACGTTAACGAGCATGACTTATTTGCCAATTCATCAATGAATCATCTCATCTAACTTCTGCCTGTATCGAGCCAAATTCTGCAACAAATAGCGAAATTAAAGAAACATGTCATAGTTTTAACTTACAATTCTGACTTGATTATCGATAAAATTAATAAAGAAGGCTCGTGTTTGCAAAATAGTTGACCTTGGTATAAGCGTAAACGCTGGCCTCACTAGGTGCTGCCGGACTTCCTCTTCTGATATATTTTTCCTCTTTGACTATATAAAGCATAGGTATTCCTGTTGCTAATTCCAGGCTTATAACCTGAAAAATGATCGATTTTCAAAATGCTACCAAACTAAAAGAAACATTTTGCATACCCTGCTTTCAAGTGGAATATATCGCGATCAAAATATTCACCTCTTGAGATGTGAGTTTGTCAAGGTACATTATGATGGACCTCAACGAGTTCCCATGTGCAGCGATCATTACATTCTTCCCGGCTTGTAGTTGAGGTTCAATCTGAAAAGTTCTCTACTTAGATTGAAAATTTTACGTATTAATAAATAACAATTCCTCTCGATCTAAACAGTTTCTAGTAGTTGTCAGTGCTACATTTTGTGTTTCCCTGTTTGTTTTAACCTAGTTTCCGCACATTTCTTTTGCACACACTCACACTTGTCGATTGCTCTCTTGTTTCTTTTATATTGTTTGTTATTCAAGTTGGGATCGCCATGGAAACAGCCTCTCTAGTCTCTACCTAGAGGAAAGATCTATGTACATCTTGCCCCCTAAACCTCACCTAGAGGAAAGATCTATGTACATCTTGCCCCCTAAACCTCACCTAGAGGAAAGATCTATGTACATCTTGCCCCCTAAACCTTACCATGACAAAAGATCTATGNCCCCTAAACCTCACCTAGAGGAAAGATCTATGTACATCTTGCCCCCTAAACCTTACCATGACAAAAGATCTATGTACATCTTGCCCCCTAAACCTTACCATGACAAAAGATCTATGTATATCTTCCTCCCAAAACCTTACCATGAGAAAAGATTTGTGTACATCTTGCCCTCAGACCCCACACAGAGGAAAGATGTGTGTACATCTACCCCGGACCCTATCCAGATGAAAGATCTGTGTCTATCTAACCCTACTCAGAGGAAAGATCTGTGTACATCTTTTGCCCCCTAGACAGAGGACAGATATGTGTACATCTTTTTCCCCCTAGACCCTACCCAGAGGAAAGATCTGTGTACATCTAACCCCAAACCCTACCCAGAGGGAAGAGTTGTGATTCTTACTTGTTGTTTGAAGTATGCAACAGCTCTTTCAGCACACATTTCCAAACTCTCGCCATTTGGTGGAGGTATATCATAACTACGACGCCATTCATGAACTTGTTCTTTCCCATATTTATCTGCAGTTTCCTGCTTATTTAGACCCTGCAATTCCCCATACCTGAACACCAAAAAAGGTGAGAAAATGATCCAAAAAACGATCCCTTTAAAGATATAATTAATGCTTACATTCGTTCATTTAGTTGCCAAGCCGTAACAACTGGGATACACTGTCTTTCAGTTTCTTCGCTGAAAACTCGACTCCAAGATTTTGCTTGTTCGCTTTCATTATGAAGGACAATAGGCACCTGAAAATTGATCTCCTTAAAAAATCAGAATCCCAAAAGAAAGAGAAAAACTACATATGAATACGTGTGAATAATACCTTCTTGCGGCGATGCTGAGTCATGGCAAGCATGGCTGTCATCTGTGCACGAATAAGCGCAGATGTATATATCATGTCAACGGGTATATTGCTTATTCTTTTACCAGCTTCAACAGCTTCTTCCACACCCTTTTTAGTCAATGGCACGTCAACGCAACCCGTGAATAAGTTCTTCTCGTTCCATAACGACTCGCCATGCCTGATCAATATCAATGCCGCTTCACCTAAAACAGAAACCACATTTCAAAATCACCTATCATCGCAAAGTTGGTTGCTTTTTCTGGGTTTTTACTAAAAAAGATGATCTATTAGCAACCAAAAGTTTAAGTATAACAGTTAGCAAATACTTGATTTCTTTGGGGAGTCCACTTTGGTGTTGTTTAACGGTGTAGAAACTTGGTTCGATACTGTAGTCTGAGAAGAAGACGCTTGAATTAAACAAAAACCCCTCTTTCTAGAGAAATGACGTTCTTTTCCCGACAATCCAAGATCAAATTGGAAACCTTTTGAGGTCAATCGGAGAGAACTATTTCCACATTCTTGATAAAGGGCTGAATTGCCAACGTACCCACGGGACTGGAGAGCACCGATAGATCCGTTAAATGCAGTTGCAGCCATTCTGAAAATTCAATATATAAATGTTAACATATTTGAATTCAGGAGAAAACAAGTTTATGATCATCATTTCCCCTAAATTCAAGAGACTCGTACTATTTTGAATCCAGAAATCAAAATTTCTAAAGCAAACTCTAATTCAGAAGTTCAAATTACTTGGAAAGAAATCATATATGCACATTTGATGGAAAGTAGCCTGAATTATAACAATTATAATACCTATAGAAGAGTACATATCATACAAATTAAAGCACCAATTCATCAAAAAAGATACGCCCAAAAAAATTAAAATACATGCATTCATGTAAACATCAAAATCAAATTCTATCAAACGGGTATTTGCAGAAATTGAACAAAAGGGGAGAAGACTGTTAACGTCAATCAGATTCAAACGATTTCGAATCAATCTATACCAAATCAAGCAGGAAAAAAGGCAGATAATAATTGGTTGAAAATTGTGGGTAATTGAGAAGAGATATCTTACATTATTTATAACTCGATTGTTTGGAGGAATCGACGATAAAACTAAGGAAGATTAAAGGGTTTATTACAAGGAAAAGGTAAAGGTTGACGGAGATGAAGATGCAATGAGAAGCCAGTTTTTTAGACGTCGTTGATTCAGAGTGAGAGATGATTGATATGTTTATTTGCTTAGATGAAATCGAGCAGGTCTTCAATGGAAGAAGACGGAAAGTGAAATCTTGGACTCTGCTTTACATGCTTACTCCATTTTTGTACCTTCCACGTTTTGAGAAGGCAGAATATGTGTTGAATTTTTAAAATAAAAGTAATGATTTTTGCAAGATATTCAAAAATGATGTTTTTCTTAATATAATTTTACAATTCAAATTTATTTTTTAGTCCTTAATAATTATAGTAATGTTATGAAGTTTGTTTCTGGGTTGTTTGTTTATCTTTTAATAGTTTTATTAAAAAGTAACATCTGAATAGTTAATAGGTGAATCTTATTTGACAAAAAAATTGTCTCTTAATGGTTCTAAAACCCTTTGAATGATTTTGTATTATAGGTCTCCCTTATCCATTTAGCGTATAATTTCATTATAAACAATTACCAAACAATTATATTTCAGATCTGACTACTTAATTATTTTGCACCAAATCATTAAGCAACTGTCAAATAATCCATTATTTCTAATAAATAAAAGGGAACGATAATTTTTTTTAATAAAGGTAATGAATTTTCAAAAAAAAAAAAAAAACTATCTGATGATTTATTTTTATCAAACAAACTAAATTTTACTGATATAGAAACTAATTTTTATGTTTAAAATGATATGATAATGACAAATAAATATATTAAAATATAACAACGTTTGTTTTGATTTTTATTTAGTGTAGTAATGAATTTCTTTTAGGGGATGTTTGGGATTTGTTTATTTGAAACAACTTATGTTTTTCCATAAAAGTGTTTATCAAATTATTATAAGTTAGAATGATTTAATTTATTCAAAAACTTTTAATTACCGGCTTGACACTGATATAAGTTGTTTATCCAAATACTCAAAAGTGTTTATTACCGGTATCACACCAAAATAAATCAATAAGTTGTTTTTATAAGCAATTCCAAACACCCCCTTAGTATTAAAAAGGAAAGTAATGAAAAAGATATATAAGGATGAGATGAATAAAAAATTAAATTAAAATACATGTTTTTAGATATCTATCAATTTATAATGTTGTATGGTAATTTTTATTAATAAGAAAAACACTGAAAATTTGTTACACTGATTGAGTGAAAAAAAAAAGTCTTATAATAAGTAGAAATTTGAAGTAATCTTAGATGTAATTTGCAGCACATTATGATTTAACTAGTTGTGTATTCGTACAATACAACAAGATGCAAAACTTGTTATTATCTGATTAGTAGAACTATCAGCCTTCAACTTGTTGTTATTGTATTCGTAATAACAGCTAGTTTAGGATTTAGTAAGATAGAAATGTTCAATACTTTAATTTGTATGCAGTATGATAAAACAAAAGTATATTTTTTAAATAAATTGATTAATCATATTTTATTTAAAAAAATTGTTTACTAAAATATAATGTAGAAATAAAATGAATTAATTGAGATGAAGATTATATATGAAATTTCTAAATAAATCTTTCTATAAAAAAATAACAAAATAATTATTAATTTATTTTACAAAGGCTTAATTTGTTAATTAGTCTTGAATATCCCTTGAAGAAGCAAAGGGCCACACCTTATATATTGATTGACAAGCCAAGGTCCATTCCCAAAAGCCATTCTACTCTTTCAACTCATATTATTTTATTTATTCATTCATGTACCATAACATCAAATACTACATTAACGCTAACCATCAAATGGTCTTTGGTCCAGCGGTATGTGAGTCTTTAGCCTCCTAGAAGATCAATGATTCAAACCTTACCAAAGGTGGAAAGTGTGTGTGAGTTTATTTGTTGTATTTGTCATATATAAATATTATATACTTCAAAAAAACATGTTGCATATGCATATTAAAGGCGCACAATAGGTCTTGGGTCGAAGGGCATACATGGATCTTGCTTAAGTTGAGGCCCGTTAAGACCATTAAACCCATGAGTCCTATTTTGATTCTTATGTTAGATTGAATGGTCCAGTCTCCCGTCTCAATTCTAAGCCCACTCTTTTATATATGGTTTTAGGACAATTTAAGGAAGCATCTAATGATGGTCAATGTTAAATTTTATCCACTAAAGCATAGATAATGTTATTAAATTATATTTATCAGAAGTTTTATGTTTTGAGTCATTCAAATAACCAAATTTATAGCATGAGCCAGAGACTTTTTTAAGTAAGATCTCCCATTCTTTTACTTATAGTTTATTAAAGATATTAAAACTTAGAGATAATAAAACTTGGTTTTGTGAGTGCAATGATTTAAAGATATGGTAAACATTTTATCATTTCTAAAGCTGAAGCTTGTTTGCATGGCAAAGAATTCGAAGAAATTCAATTCAATGGTTAACTCATTATATTTTCGTTTTTTGGGGAAAGTGACAACGTCAGAAATTCAGTCAAATCCAAGTAAGATTTTGAGGAATCTTCAAGTAGTCTCTTACATTAATGTTTTCTCTAATTGCATTTTGAAGTTCATAATGACTCGTTTTGGATTAGTCCAACAAGTAAAAAAGATTAATGGCTTGAATTTGATATAAATATTTTTTTTTTGGGATTTTTGCCTAACTTTTGAATTCATGGTGTTGATTTCAAACTTTTTGACGTATAAGCCGGCAAGCCGTTCAAACACCAAGTTTTTACATTTTTTGGTTTGTGTTTACTTTTATTGAATAGTCAATTGAATTGTGGCTTTTGGCTCGGTTTTGACTTTAGATGAGTCTTGAGGACTAGGTCTGGTTCCGTGTCGAGTTTTTGAAGTTATATGCAATTATGACATATTTAATTGAAATTTACTTGTTGTGAGTGTGTTGGTCATTCATTTAGTCATGCAAATTAGACTACAATGTATTGGATCCATAAGCATATGTGTCAATCGTGTTTTGCCAAGCAAGAAGTTTTGATGTTTAGTCTCAAAGCCATAAGGTTTAGCCAAGTGAGGAGTTTTGACGTTCTCAGCTTGAGCCATTTGGTTATGACAAGAGTGAAATTTTGAGGTTCTGTTCTCGATATCTTTGGTTAGCTACAAATAAAAGAAGTTTTGATGTTCTCGCTTTAGAACCTTAATTTTAGACAAGTGAGGAGTTTTGATGTTCTCATCTTGTAACTTGGGGAATGACCAAGTAATGAGTTTTGATGTTTTTACCTTAGCCCCAAATAGAGTAATTACTAATGCTTGTATTTGGGGATGATTTACTCGTCAACATCTTGATATGGTTTACTTAGTGTTCTGCCACGTGATGGAAACGGGTCTCTCTCATCACCAAAAGGTGTTATTTTTGAATAGTGTTTGATCCATGTTTTCGATGTTATTTTGGGTACAGAGTGCATCCATACTTTATGGTCTTGGTATCTTAGATTTTATTAATGTTTTGTTGTATTGGGCATTGGACATCACTATAATCTTTGGATATCTTTGAAATTAGAGTCTTATCCATGTTTTCAATATTTGAATATTAAATCTTACTCACGTTTTGGGTGAGTATTGGTTTCTGACCTCATGTTAATTGGGGTGCTTTAGGTCACCAAGTTTTCATCACAAAATGACGGTTTTGAGAAAGATGTTCTTTCTATGCTAAATACGTTTCATTTTTGGAATTGTGATGTAAATAACATTTTTCTCAGTTTTATTATTTTATATTAAAGATGAAAATTGTTTGAACTCACTAGGTATTAAACCTAATTCTTTTTATTTGTCAAAATGTGCATCAGTTCCTCTTTAAGAATTGGTTCTAGCAACACTGTGATGTGATGTGATGAGATGAGTGCTAGAAAAAGAGGTACGTGATGGAATTATCTATCCAGGGACACCTTTTTATATGTTGGAGATAACGACCATTCTTGAGTTTTAGCAACACCCGTCCATATATAGACCTTGTGTAAGGTCTGTTTTGTAATCTTAAATCTTAAGTTGTCATTTTAGGTGATTCGGTTATTGCTTGTTAGAATGGAATTTATCTTTCAATTGATGTATTTAGAAAATATTAAATTAGTCGCTCATTCTAAATTTTAGGGCGTTACATTAAGAAAATTAGATGATTCTTTTTACATTAAATGATTTTAGTAACTAGACTACTAGAGGAGAGTTCCATTGCAAACCTGTTTTCCATTGTAAACTGAGAGACACAGAAGCGTGTGACACTTGTACCTATTTGTTCCAATGCATTATGATCAATGAACATGACTTTTTTTTTATAACACTCATAATAAATATTACACCATTCATGATTAATATCCCATGAATGTTCGACATACAAGAAAACTTAAGTTTGCAATTAAACATGTTCGTTAATAATCACTTTTAAAGAGCAATAACTAAATACAAATTAAAATACGTGAGTGAATATTTTAGTTTTACAGTTGAAATATTCCTTAAGAGTAAATTACAAGATTGGTTCATGTGGTTTATGTATTTTAACACATTGGGTCCTTACTTTGAATATATATATATATATATATATATATATATATGCATGCCAGTGTGTGTGGGGATCACAGCGTTATGGTTTGCAATTTATAACAAATTGGGTCCCTGTCACTAACTCCTTTATATTTTTTCTGTTAAGTAAGTTAATCAAGAAGGGATTTTAATCACAAGAACCAAATATGTAAAAAATCACGTGGACCGAACATGTAATTTACTCTCTCTATATTGTATATTAATATATATCCATAGGTTTATTTGAGAAGTGCTAAATGTATGAAAAGTAGAGCAGTGATCCTAACCTTTCTACTAAAAAATTAGCGGTCAAGATTTGAGGGGTTGATTGTGCAGTATTGGATAGTTCGGTCCCATGGTAACAACTATGAGAAAGATGAAGGGATAGTTTTGTAAATTTTACAAATAGGCGGATATGTCAACGGGATCGAGATCAACTTCTTGCCCAAGATCCCTTTCTGGATTCAGATTCATATTGAAAGAATACGAGATTTGATCGAGAAAAAAATAAAAAAATTGATAATTTTTATAACCAAGAATTGCAATATATGGTCGAGAAAGAATCGCGAGAAATCGATGATAGAATTGTTAACGGGATCGAGATCGTATATCGCTTACCAGACTTCCGTTTTTGTGATCGACGATGACGATGAAGTGATCAATATGTTAAAGGGATCGACATCGTAATTATCACCCCGTTTTTTCTAGTTACCATATTATCCTTCCTTTGAAAAGAATTGATCATTTGATCCAAGGACTAGGATCACTTTTTTATTTCTATTACATTTATCTTTTCTAATTTGAACCTCTCCGTATATATATATTGTGTATATATATTATATTAGGGCTAAATGATAACCTCTTGATATATTAATTATTAAGTATAATATATAGAGAGTAAATTACATGTCTACTCTTTGTGGTTTTTATCACATGCTTGGTCTCTACGATTAAAATGACCAAAATGTCCTCTAATTAACCTACTTAACAAAAATATTTAACAGAGTTATTGACAAGGACCCAATGCATTATAAATTGCAAACCACAAGACTGTAATCCATAAATATTTTAAAATAAGAACTCATTATGTTAAAACACATGAACCAATCATGTAATTTAGCAGGTGTTTGTTTGCACCTTAATGGTGCCATTAAGAGGCAACCTTTAAATCACACAGAAGGTTTGTTTGCACCTTAATGGTGCCATTAAGAGGCAACCTTTAAATCACACAGAGGGTGGGTTTGGCGAAAATAATAAGCCTTTTAATGGTACCAATATCCTTTGAACGATTTCTCATTTAAGATAAAGTTAAATGGTTCAGAACTCTTGTCTTCCACATTTGCCCTTTCAACATCGGTCTCCCTCCTCTACACTATGTCCTCCAAGGTGAGAGCCTCCCATGCCCGATCTCTTCTGGTTGTTCTCCGACGTCCTTCCCCGGCAGTCTTCTCCCATGAAGATATGCTCTCCTCGAGCTCTCAAGAATTTATGCTTCTGTTTACCGTTGATTTCTTTGTTTGTTATCATCGAGTTTTTTTTTGTTTATCTTCAATTGATGGTCTAATTTTGCTAATGTTTATCATCAATTTGTGCTTTTGTTTATCATCGATTTATAGTCAATTTCTACTCATCGATTTCTGCTTCTATATATCATTGGTTTCTTCTTGTGTTTATCATTTGCACCTGTTGGAATCAAAGGATGGTGCTCCTGGTAGAGATGGCCAAAAACCGGTCCCGGGCCGGTCCCGGGCCGGTCCC